CAGTCAATTTGTGTTACTAATATTTGCAAATTAATTTATTTTTCTTTTCAGAGGTTCTTTGTTGTGCTGGTGTAGGACCGCATACCTGGGGATTCAACAGTTATGTGCCCACAATGGGTAATCAGCGTGTTGAAGTTGGAAGAACTGGTAATCAAATCCATGTAAATAGAGCTGTTGTCACAAGCTGCGATACTGTAGCTGTAAATGGGGTCCTTCATACCATTAACAAAGTATTAGCCCCGAAAAAAGCTCCGGTGACTTCTGTAGGAGGCGGTTTTTTCTTTTTTGATTTGTAGATAATTATTAGCTTATTCAATAAGGAGCTTGGATCAAGTTAAACTACAACAGGTCAATGTTGCCGGTATTAGTAGTTGGTGTATTCATTTATTTTGAATTATTTATAGATGATAAATTGTTAAAGCAGTGAAGGTTTGATTATGCAAATAACACTGAAAATCTATTTGGAAAAATTGCTCCAAACGATTAAAGATTAAATTATGTTTATACTAACAAGGCAAATAACTACAAATAACAAAGGTATCTTTTATATAGGTATTTATGTATGATTGAGCAGTGATCAGTTTTAAAGTTCCATTTTTTTAAATATAACGTAAATATATCATAAGTGATAAAATTATATTAGTAATATTAGCCATTATTATTTATTTGTTTATAGCGTTTAGATACTCTTAAGTTTTTAGATTTGTATCGAATACATACTTACACACTTTCTTATGCGTTTCTTGTTTTGTTATACCTGCAACTATTCAACCAAAACGTCTCACTGTAATTGGTCTTTTATAAAACCAACCTAATGAATTATAAAATAGACACATTGACAATTAATAAAATTTATTAGATTATTAGAGATACAGTAGGGCATTGGAAATATTGTAAATGCACGGTTTTGTCAAATTTGCATACGACAACGTGGCACTACTCACATTCAAATAGGTAGTAATACAAGTGGCAAAAGAACTCAATATTATTATGAAAACGCAAATTACAATTTCCAACTTTTCATTCCAAATTTCTCGAAAAGTCTTCCGGCTTTGATATAATCCTACATTTATTTTCTGTTCTCCTTTATAGTCTGTTATGTCGCTAAAAAGTTATTAATAAAACGTATTAATTATTAGATTTAACTTTAACATTAATTAAATACATTTCAGAAATATTAGACTAAAAAAAAATAAATAAATACATTTAATTTCTAGAGTATATATTGGAGAAATATCAATAAAAGCTGTTGGAATTAATTGTGTCACACTTTCGTAACACTATTAATTAATTAATAAAATTTAGTTAACTACTTACTACTTAACTAATCTGAAATTCCTTCTCACCTTGAATAGTCTTCGCTTAAATTGCTCGACCTTCGCTCCATCAATATAACATTCGAAAAGCTTTCCAGTTCCAATTTTCGAACATACTTTTTATGCAAATATATCATTCTGATGTAGAACAGAGGCGGAAAGAAGAAAACTAGTGGACCAGTTAAAGACCCACCTATTAAAGACATTACCAGATCGAATCGGGGAACTGACTCAGCTATAATGATTGCAATTATGATCAAAATCGTTCTTAGGATGCAGCGTTTGTGGTTGAATGCTAAAACGAATCATGCAAATTATTGATTGAGAATATTAGTGAGTTCAGCTTTGGATCGAATTACAAATTTTAAAAACATTATTTTATTTATGGTTTGATTTTCCCTTCTGTTAAATTATATAATATATGGTTAATTAAATGTGCTTTCGATCATTATTTAAAAACAAATTTTAAAGTATTTCACAACAAATTCGCATCCAGAGTACGAATAGAAGATACACAAAATATTTGTGTTAGAATTGGCTATTATTATTTTTGTATTTAAACTGAATATTTGAGATGAAAGAATCAGATCATAAAGTGAAAATGATTGAAGCTTAAAACAGATAAGAAAGTATAAATATCGAGATTTCATTATTTTCATATTACTCCAAATCGAAAATTAATATTCCGCATTTCTTTCAAAATTTGATTAACCAGGCTTTTGATCGGATTTCTCACATTCATCAATAATACAACACCCTCGACAATATTTCAATGTCTCTGATAAATTTACGAGAGTTCTTAAAAATCGCAAAAAATGTTCTAGATACCTAAAAATAGTACCACACATTTATTATTAACTCAGGAAAAAAGTAAGTCTTTCCTACCCATTTATAAGACACTGTTATATTTTCGTTCTAACATACATTGTTTTACTAAACTGCTTAAATACCTAGTTAAATCTAAATTTAAAAATTAAGAATAACATAATGTTTTAACAAACAAAAAATCTTAAAATTTTACCGCGAGTTATTAATGTTTCTGACTAGTTTTTTTTGTAGTGTTGGCGAAAAACTTTAATTCGGTACTATTTAGAAGGAAAACATTATCTGATTATACAATTTCAATAGGTTAACGTTTGAAACCAATTTATTTCAATAAATCGAGTCGTTGATTGCAAAATGCATCAGAAAAAAAGAAGAGACTATGAATATTTTTGGACTCAGGTTTGTTTTATTGAATGCCGAGTTGAATGATAATTGTATGATTACTGTATGATTTCTTTTCTAAAGCAAATTTGATGCAAATGCCAATTTTTTGGGGTAGATAACTTTTTTAGGGCATCTTTAGTCACCTTTCTAACAATTAGCAGCATTTATTCACTCTACCCAGCTTTCATAATTAACTGAAAAATCATTTAAGAGCAGATTTAGAGCAGAATAGTATGAAAAAGGTAAAATTGATAAACAATTCAACACATTTTCTAAGTTCTGAATCGATTACCTGCTAGGAGAACCCGATGATAATCTTGCAAAAATTTGAACATTGTTTGAAACTGAAAATGTTTAAATTCCACTAACGTTTTGATAATTTTTTTGCTCAAATTTGCCTCAAATATGCTATAACTTTCACTATTATTTTACCTCTGGATATATTAAGACAATCCTCCATATGTTGATACAAAGCACTGTTACTCACTGCTGAAGTAAGGCATAATTGAATTGCAACTAATCCAGCTGCAAAATGCAACGGCAAAGATGTTGGCAGAGTTTCCAGCAAACTCGCTTTGGAGTTGGTTCCATATTTCCATGCAGTTATTAATGCTGTCGTACCAAACATAATTAAAGACACTAAAACAGTGCATTAAGAAATTCAAATAGTCGAAAAAAAAGGAACTATTAAAGTGAATATTTTTATAAATATAAGGTTTGGTAACCTGAAAATCCGCCTATGATGGCAATTGGTAATTTGCCTTTGTTGGTCATATCCATATGGATAGTTAGAATTGTTGGATGAATGTCAAATTGGAAAGTGACTATTCCATAAGCGCTCAACATCACCTGCCATAATTCCCAGTTGCTTGATGAAAATTCGGCTTCAATTTGAGGAATATCAGCATTTACAGTTGAAAGTAAACAGCTGGATGTTAGTATGTAAACGGATGTTACTATTAGAGCAGAAATGGTGCAAATTACCCTAAAATAATGCTGAATGAAGTGGTTTAGTTTGCTTCTATCAAGTTTTTTAACATTGACTTCTTTACATTATCGACTTCTGGAAGGACCAGTTGTGTGAATAGAATATAAATGAAAGACGAAATTAGTTCCAAATGTATTTTTTCACATTCTTTGATTGTTCTGTTCAGGAGAATGGTGAAAGTGTGAATAGTGAATATATAGGCCATGTTTGTTGCCTTAGAAAACCAATAATGATATTCTGGTCCCTGATACTTTTGTGCACATTTGTGACAATAATTTGTTTGAACGACTCACACACCAAATATTTGATCTTAGTTTTCTGATGGTCGTGGATTATCGAGAATTAATTTTTCTTACTTGCTTGAGTCCATTCCAATTACTAACACAAAAATGCGTTTTGTTTTGAGCTTATACTTAATCATCTTCAAAATGTATTCATCAAATCACTTACTTTAAAGCTCGTTTTAGGACGATTATTTTCGCGCTTAAATACTTTTGGCTTGTTACGTATGTTTCGTTTTTAAATGATCATCAAGGTCCCCATTAAAAAAATCACTGTACATTTTGTGCGTAAACACCTATTTTCTCGCGTTTTCCTTACCCCAAAGCTCGACAGAAAGAAAAATTGCATAGAAAATACTAATGCTATAATAAAGTATGATTTTCAAAATTTAGGGGACCGATATAAATAACGAAATTGAATGTATGAAAATACTCAAATGTGGATAAAACTCCTCAACATTTTCGCCAAAGAAGATAAATGAACCCACCTTAAATGGAGCAACAGTTAACTCAAGCTATTTAGAGGTAAAAAGTGTTATTATAATTTTGCAAAAAAATACCATCGTTTTGATACAAGTTTACATCCGAACGGTCTATCAGGTCCTAAAACGAAGCTCAATTTAATTTTCTCTCTTAACAAGCAATTTTCATAATAAAAGAGTTTGCATTATAGCACAGTAGAAAATTAATCTTCAGCCAGTAATTTGTCTTCCTAAGTTTACTTTAGTTTCTCCTCGACAAAGTTGCTACCAGTTTGTATGATACTATTTTCTTCTTGCAAGTCAGTGTAATTTTAAACATATAGCTTTAATAAGTTCGAACGAATCATACATAAACCGTTGTTAATCTAATACTTACTTCATGTCTTTAGGACTACCGAGCCATAAAATTGGACACAAAACGGTTCCCAGAATGATAATCCAGTAACAAAATGAAATATCGAAAGAACCTTCACTGATTCTCAAGCCTAATAGTTCCAAATTTTTTGCAGCTGAAACATTATTAAATCATTTTAAAAAATTTCTTCAAGTTTTTCGCAATTTACCGTCATTATCTAACTGTAAATAGCAGCTCTTTTAAGTCTTGGGAGAATAACATTTAAAAAAGCCAAACAAAAATTAGGATAAATGCAACTTTCTGAGGGCACATGCCGACCACTAAAGAAATCACAGACACACACTGTCTGAGACATAATTGTTGCCAATTTGCAAATAGCTAATTTCTTCCTCAACAAATTCTTGTTACAGATGTTCTACACAATGCTCTAATATTTTCTGCAGAATCTGTGCTTACCAACAATCAAATTTGGAATTCCTCCTCCGAAAACCGTGATATCAACCAAGAAAGTAACAAAATGCGCCAAATATTTGCCAAAAGTTAGCTCGGCTAAAGCAGAGTATGGATAACGGTTTTTTCTCTTCATGTTAGGTTCCATTTCTTCAGCTAAATTCCAGCATTTTCCTAATAAAGTTGCTGTGTATATTTGAATGCTGCAAACTGCAAATATCACCAGAATGCCATAGTATCCTAGAAATCAATTTTTAAGGCTTTCATTAAATTCATTTTCGGGAATAAATTCTCTTACCAAAGTTTATAAATTGCAGAAAAATACATTTCATTTTATTCAAATTACAGTTGATTTCATTTGTATTAAATCAAAGGTTCTGCTGTATTTCCAATGACTAATGGAATATTGGGAATAAAATGTTCGATAAGAAAGACTTTTGCACAGACTTTGTTTTGGAGGGACGCCCAATTTTATGCAACCTCGCTGATTTTCCCTATCAAGCAGTTTTTGTAGTAGATAAAAATAAAATGTCCTACTCACCACAGTCGATAATGGGTTTTGGTAGGGCAACCACTGGAAAAACTCCGAAAACATCGACAATACAAAGAATGGCAAAAAACACTGAAAGTCCATTTCCTTGTAAAATTGGTGTTGTTTCATCCGGTTGCATGTCGGTGAATGACACGGTTTAAAATGAAATTGATATATTTTCAGTTTTGCGGTTTCCTATTAGTGAAATGGCAATATCAGGTATCACAAATGAAACTTGTGTTTCACTGTACGAAGTAATGTATTGCATTGCATTATTTTAGAATACATATTCATATAACACTTGTAAATAATGTGTTCAATTTGCTCGAATAAGGCGCAAAAATCCGTTGCATCGCATTTAGTTTACAATTGATTTTGGAATATACACAAGTGCTGCTTTGACATTGGAAATATTGTCTCAGATTAACGGAAAGCGGTAGAAATAATCGAAGTTTTCAAACTATATTTAAACCAATTTTAAACCAATTGGCACCCAAAATTAACGCTGAAATAATCAGCGCAAAATGATTCACATAGGTACCACCTATTTAACAACTTTAATATCCCTTTTCAATCCGAAGATTTTTTCGGCTACACCTAAGAAGTAAATTCCTTGGATGATTGCATACGTGGGAGCCAACACCAAGATTCGACACGCTCCGCCTTTGTAGAACCCTTTTATTCCTTCATGTTGAAGAATATCTCTACAAAAACACGCATGTTTATTCTATATCTTCGCACTCAGACTTCCTCTAAACTTACTTAAAAGCATCTTTTACACTTCCATAGGTTTTATCGCCTGCAGCTCCTTTGCTGATGCTTTGAATTCTGGTCTTCATTATATCAGAAGGCGTGACCATTACAGCTGTACATGAAGCTGTGGATAAAGCACATATAAACGACCAGTAAAACTTGGCGTCACCTGAAAAAAATTATATTATATTAAATTTGCCAATTGGCAAGGTTTAAGAAGACAAATAACCTGATCCGTCTAGTTTTCTCGGACCGAATGAGTCCAGTTTAGCAAAAACGGGAAAATAAACGCCACAAAATGGCACATCTCGGCACATGGTTGCAAATGTTCCTTTGTATAATCCAAAGAATCCTCGAGATCGGATTAAATCACTGAATACTTTAAGTGCTGATATGTTTGGCGTTACGGGTTTACCAGCTGGAAGAGGCCAAATGGTACACACAAATCTTTGATGCAAAAAGGAAAAAAGTCAAAACACATACTCAAATATTGTAAAATTAGAGCCGTTTCACACGGGCATCTTTGCAGCGCGTCTCAAGGGCGCTGCTGAGAAGCGCGTTTTGAAAAGGCTCTTAGTGAGAATAGTAATATATTCGCATAATTATTAAATACATTACAGCAAGTCATCGGTTTCCCAAATTAAATGTCTCAGTTAAAATATTTACTTGCCTTTTTTTAATAGAAGAATTTAATAGAAGAAGTTAGAATTTAATATTAAGTCTCAATTAAATTTCCGTTCAAACTGCCAAACAAGTGTAAATTGTACCAAATTTAACCTGCATAATTTTAAATTTTATTTTTTTTTCCTTAATTTGTCATCTTTTAAAAGTGATGCCTTTTTTAATTAATTTACTTCTTACTTTGTTTGGCTTCCATAGCTGCCACTCGGCCCGCATCTTGAAGCTGGATTTTCAGCAACTCCATTGGAACGGTTACTACGAGTTGAACTACTCCGGTTAAGGCTCCAGCTAATCCTTGTCGCGCTGTACTTAATTTACTAAGGCACAGAAAAAAATATGTTGAAAGCAAACACCTTTAAATATACAGTATTTAAAACAAAAATACTTCTTTAAGATTGAATCATTATTATACTGAAAAATATATAAAAAAATATTAGTCGCTCTCGATCAAGAAGATAAGGTATTTAGGAATCACAAATACGTACGATTTGTCTAGCAAAGCAACTTCTAATGGATTTTTTGTCACAAAAAACTAGCTAAAACACCTTTTCCAAATTTGTTAAGCCAAAAACTCACTTTGTCGTTTTGTCTTTCAAATGAAACCTGAAGAAGTCATTGGCTGTAAAACGGATGGCTTTCATGGGTGTGATCAACAGAATGAGAACACTGGATCCTTTGTAAAGGCCTCGAATCCCTTCTGAGCGGCTAATTTTTTTCATGGCATCGAAACTGCTCTTAAATACAAACTGTGCGTTTCTTAAATTCTTTCAAAATTAATTTTTTCAAGTTACACATTAGGACGAATTGGGATAAAAGTGAAAGACAGTTTGAAGATGAAAAATGCATTTTTTAATGATCGTCGCAATGATTGAAGCAAAGTATGTGTAAATTCGCTTAAAATTTAGCAGATTAATTTGCGTATGCTAAATTTAACGAGATTCAAAGAAAACAATCCCACTAGAAGCTAGAAGACCTTTAACTTCACTGTTTAGGTTGTTGATGTATTACAACAAATTTTTGTCTTTATAGGTAGTATGTGTTTTTATTCTGCTAACTATTAAATGTTTCTATTTTTTTTGGTTTTTACGAAAAGCAATCGGGTAGCAAAGACTCGTTACTTACATGCCATCATACATCTTGGTCCCATCAGGTCCAATCTGTTGCTTCTGCAGTCGCGTCTTCACCAAATCGGTTGGAAAAGTACAAGCGACTCCTATCATTCCGGCTATTCCCCCATTTAGAATTTTAGGTAAAATCCTTTAATTTGAATATGGGTATTTTGAGCAAGTTTTGAAACCACAAGTATTGTAACTTGAAAAATGATTAACAGAAGAACAGAAGCCTTAAATACTTACGAAAATTGTAGTTGATTTTCCGCCATTATAAGCAATTGAAAATTTGGTTTTTGTAAGCGATTTACCTGAAATAACTTCGGAATTTTATATTACTTGATATAAATTTGATGTATGAAATGTAGACTGTAGTCACTCTGACAAATTAACTGCAATTTTTTGAATGACAAACATAGAAGCTGCCAATGTACCTACAGAGGTACTATATGAGTAATAAAATATTTATGAACAGTGCTCGAATCCGAACTAATTGAACTAATCTCATATTTAGAAAGTCAAATGTTACAAAATAATTTGAGTTCATTAATCTACAAATTTCTTTTCTGGTCCAGGAGTTGAATACTTATTTCGGATAAATTTTTGCAAGGTAAAGAAAATACCACTTCGAGACAAAATACAATATAGTTTATTAAAAACAACACACAACTACTATAATCAATAAAAATAAAAACTGATCTCACGTTTATCGAAATATACTTAAAACTCGATATATTTCTTGAACTTTACACACATTTTCATCCGGTTGGTATCAAAGAAGTTCAATTTACCAAAGAAATGTTCAACAAAAGGTGAGATAATCATCAACTAAAATCGTAAAAAATATATAATATTTCTAGAATAGTGAATAGCTTAGTTTTCTACTTTTTGCTTATGTTGTACAAATTTGAACACACAGATAACTTCTCTGTTTAAATGCCACCGGTAGGTATTCTTTGTCAGCGAGATACCTAATCATTTTTTGCACACTTAAGTACCTTTCACTGTGAATGAAATTTAGAACTCCACAAGCACCTGAACATTTAGAAAACCTTAAATCTTAAGCAACCTGTAAGGTATCTATCAAACCGGCATATTTGGTGTTGTCCAAACTATTCTAGCTCTCGGTGTTCTTGCGAGAAAGAATTTGTCTATGGCGTCCAAAGTATAAACCATTACTGCAATGAACCCTAAGATCTGCAACAAGAACACAATAAGTTACACTGAAAAGTCAATAAATAAGTGGTTAGTTTTCCCCAAATTAAGTATTTTGGATCAATTTTATTTAGTTTTTGCATTAAGCAAATCTACTTTACTTTTCAAGATTTTTAAAAATTTTATAGACTTTTATGACAATCGTGTTAAGATGAATGTTCAATGCCATGGTCTTGTCGTGTTTTCAGCGGCAAATAATTTCGACTGTAAAAGAAATAAAATTCCCATATTTCAGTAGCTTAACTGGGTTTTCCGATCACAATAAATGTAACGTTTCTAGGAGTAAAATATTGCTAATATGGAAAAAATGGGAGAAACATCATTGCATTAGATTCATACATATAAAATTAAGCTATGATAGAATAATATACAACAACTTTCTTTTACAACAAAGGCCCCAATTAGATAAATTGAAAAAGCAATGTCCAAGAGTATATTTAGAATCGATAAAAGGAGTACAAATTACCGCAACTAAATTAAACGAAAACTTCTCAATATTGGAACGAAATCGGTTGAAAGAGCCTAAAGAGCTTGAAATCATTTTCATTCGCATTCTTCCGAGCAAGTATTATTATCTACATTGAAATAATATCTTTATTGTACAATTTCGATTCAACGAACCATAGAATTAATGTTGATAATGGAATCTTGTTCACTTGAACAAGAGTATTTTTCCAAAATGATACAAATTGGAGCTTTATTGATGGAACAAAGAACAGCTTACAAAATACAGATACAGCCGAAACGAGATAAAAACATACCAGAATGGAGTAGGTACCCATGTAAATTTAGTGAGTTTAACTCAGGAGCTTTTAAGGGTCAAAAAGTGTCTGGATTATTCCTATATTACAGGGTGTTCCGTAAATATGTTAAAATATTTTAACAACGTGTTCTCCTAGTCATTTTAGAGGAGGGTCTTCCTGAGAATTTTTCAAATTTGAGGTCTCATTTTTGAAATATTTGATCTCCAAAATGGCAAAAAATATTAGTTTTTGTTGTTTTTCTTTAAAACGGTTAAACATAGAAACTTAAATTTTGGTACACATTATAAGCTAATTGAGTACCATTCTATGGTAGTGGTGTTTTGTAGTTCAGTTTACTTAGGGTAGAAATGTGGAACCTCTATTTTGTTTTGTTCAGAACTTTTTTGTGTGCACCTAAACTTTTATTAACGTAATTTTTTTAATTACTACAAGTTATTTATCAACTTTTTATCCCTTATTGTTTTTTCCTAAGGGCACTAGTTTGCCCGCAAAAAAATTAAATCGTTTCGTACCAAAACTTTCCAAGTCGTTGGATTTTAAGAGGTCAAGAAGCTCCTATAAACTCGCCTCCCAGATCTCCCGATCTAAACGCGCTTGATTTTTACTTCTGGGGCCATTTAAAAAATACGGCGTATTGAACAGAAGTGAATACAATCGAAGAACTTCAGAAAGATAAGGTAATATTTCTAACGAAATGAGAACTTCAGTGCAAACTTTACGGTCTGTAAATTTTAATTTCACTAAAAGACTGCGATTGTGCCAAGAATGTCAAGATGACCAATTTTAACAGCTGCTAAGATAACATTATTAGATTAACATTATTTCAATTTAATTTTGTTTGTTTATTTCGTTCCGCATATTGTTCCCATGTTATTATTTAAGTAAAATTTATTCAAACTTAATAATTGTAACCTGAACCCAAATACACAATTTAGAAAAATAATTTAGGTTGTTAGTAATCAACTAATGATGCGTACCAAAATTATTATATGAAAACGTTATTAGATTTAAAAAAAATAACTTAATTACTTACACATTTTGAGAACGGCAAAGAAAAACGAGTAATTAATTGTAGTAATTAACGAAATTATGCGAGAAAAGTGCAAAAGTTCTAAACGAAACTAAAGTAGGGGTTCCACATTTCTACCCAGTATAAAAGCAAACTGAACCACGAAAAACTATCATAAAATGGAACTTAATTAGCTTATAATGTATACCAAAATTTAAGTTTCTATGTTTAACCGTTTTACAGGAAAACAACCAAGACTATTATTTTTCGCCATTTTGGAAATCAAATATCTGAACAACGAAACCTCAAATTAAAAAAATTCTCAGGAAGACCCCCTTCTAAAATGACTAGAAGAATACGCGGTTGAAATATTTTAACATATTTACGGAACACCTTGTATGTCCTCCTTTATAATGTTTTCTTATTTTTAAATAGCTATTATAGAGGATATTACAAAACTTACATAACTTTTCGCGTTTTTATACCGTCGTGAATTAGAATCTCTTCTTCACGTTTCTACTCAACTACTTCATTAACTATTGATGGAGAACTCGAAGCTATTTCGAAAAAATACTGAAAATGTAGACTGTTTTAGCTTCAAGGCTGCAAGGTTATATGTGTACTGCACTTTAAACGAACAACAATTAATCCATCAATCTGATTGCTGAATTTATGTATTGCTTTTAAAAATGGCAAATCTGTACGTGTTTACTATTCAAGAACTATATCTACTTCTTGTCATATAATAAATGACAAGAAAATTCAATTTTATTATTTGTTGTAATTGAATTGTTCAAATGCTTATTGATATTAAGTGAATAGACTTGGAGCTTGTATAAAATTCATAATATTTTTAAATTTTACGTTTTTCTCACGATCTATATCTCTGGAAGCGATATCTAGATTATATCTGTAATTCTTCCACTTTTCTTTAAGTGGTCTATTTCCCGTTAACGTACCAATGAAATTTATTTTCTTCTTGCTTTCTTTTCCAAGCTGCAAATGTGGAGTAAAATGAATTAAAATACAGCAGATAATATTTTTATCTCAGACATCTTTGAAATCAGTATTAGTGTTACTAACATTATAATAAGTTGTTATTAACTTACCCCTGTTAGAATATATCCTTTAGTAAGTACTGCTACGACAAAGGAAGAGCTGGTCAATAGCAGAAGAGCCATAAGAGCGCTATTAACGCATTCGACCCAAAACCAAGGAAACTCTGAATTTTTTATAATGCCTCGTACGTGAAGACATAGTAGAACTAATGAGCTGACAAATCCGTATATAGAGATTCCACAGAAGAACTGTGCCTGGATTGATGCTCCCAAACTTATCGCCGATACTAATAAAACCAAATGAAGCACCTAAAGAAAATATATACTATACTATATATTTAGTTATTATACGTGTAGCTACACAATGGTTGAATGGTCAAAAAACTGTTAAATCGTTCAATATTCGTATGTCATCTATCGTGTTTTCATTCCATGGTAGATTCTATAAAATTGTCAGATTTTCTTTTGTGTAATTTTTTACCAGTCTTTTTCACATAATGTGATTAGTTCGATAATAGTGAAATAATCAAAGTAAAATCACATTTCAGACTAGTCTCAATATAATAGCAGAGGAAACTTTTAAGTTAAAGCCCTATCAATTTATTTCCCGAATTTTTTTTTTTAATTCTCAGTGCAGTCGAAGTTCGATATTTCAAAATAATGTATTATAAAGAATGCGATTTTAAATACTGAAATGGCAGACATCACTGGAAAAACATAAATTGCAGCCGAATGCAAATGTTTTCGATCAATACGAGTTATTAATTATAGCGTGGTTAAGATAACGCTTATTTGCGCGATAAGCCGGTTGAATACATCGATGATCAGTAATTTTAAGCCCAAAACTTACCACTTCCAGCAGTTTCAATGCTCCAGAGTAAGATCTAAGAAAATCCAAACCACTTTTGTAAGTAGTCTAAAATTGAACAGAATATTCGATTAAAAAGTGATTTGTTGCAATAAATAAATAAACAAGTAAAAATCACTTTGCAGGGATTTGTACGTTTTAGAAAACACTTCACATAAATATTAGAGCAACTTACACTCATTTTATGTCGTTTCATAGCAGCTGCCGATGGAACATTCAGTTAATTTCTCCAACATTGCTTCAATAATAAATGATAGCGACTAATCTTATCTGCGTTCGGAGCTCATCACCATTGGTAAATCTTGAAATAGTGATAAGTTGTACCTTTTTAACACATTTTTCAGTTATAACTAAGTAATTGTAAACTGTACGTGTTACTCGTCTGGTTGTTCAGTCGCTAATGATTCAGCTATTGTTATTACAAATCATGGTCAACATTCCTAGATAAAGCATGAACAAACACATGTTGTTTCATTAATACGTACTCAAAACCAAATAAATAGGTATAATGTGGAAAGCAGTGAATCAATTTTTTTTGTTTTCTCAACGTAGACGCATTATCTGCAAGGAACGCCGTTAAATTTTCCAGTTTCCAGTAAATTTTTCTTTGAATGAAAGTAATTGTCTTAACAAAATTTTTAGTTTAATCCAAACTAGTAATTAGATTTTTGGAAGCTTCAAAATGGCCATCTATACGGATATTTGTGCAGATAACTTTTTGCTCACTGTGTATATATAGTTTTTAAATCGCCATGTCTTATAAGTTTCAAACCAGTTGGTATTTTCGAGATAATTGCGATTAAACAGCAAAATGCATAACTGCGAGAAAATTTCACAGTGTAATTAAGTAAGATGATTCTACTGTGCTTGGTAAATCGAGCTCAGCCTAACGAATGATTTGCTATTTATCAAATTTTACGTTTTTTAACAAAGTTTTAATTTAAATTAGTTAATATTCCAAATATTTCTTCAAGCCTGGACTCCCAACTTTTAGAATAGCGACACTCGCAATAGAGCCTTTGCACACCTTTTTGAAAAATTGACCGGGCCAGGTTTATTTTCCGCTTGGGCAAAGGAAGTTTTTAAACTTAAAGTTTTTTCTCCAGGAAAATGTCAATTTCTAACATTTTACGATAATGCAGAATTTTTTGCAGGCCTTTTTTGGTCACTAAACCAATGTCAATTAGATGTTTCTGACCGAAGAACCTACATTGCCTAGAATATGTGTTTTTATATCAATTAATCAACAAAGGAACCGGATTTATGGAACACTGAAGACACTCAATCAATTTAACATGAATTTAATATATTTTTTGATTAATAAATGAACTGAAGAAAAGGGACGCAACGTTTTGCTACCAAATTTAACTTTGCAACAGCTGCCGTTTTTTAATCTTGCATTTCTTCTCAGAGCTGTATGTATCTAATTTATTGGATAATTTTCCGCTAAATTTGCCACATAATATGGGTTATATCAAAGCAGTTTAGAATAATTCAGAAGCTACTTTGCCTAAATCCCTGAAATAATTTGCAAATAATTAACAAATATAATATGGAAAAAATTAATAAAAGCGTTTGGAAATGTACTGAGATGAACCGTGGACATTTTGAGAAATTACTGCAGAAATAGTATTTGTTTTAAACTTTCGAAATATACATTTTCACTTACCTATTGTGGTTTAAATATCAATTAAGTTTAATTGCACTTCCTGAAATGCGGATACTTTCTCTTTAATCGAAAATATCTCGGAAACGATTGTTTACTGAGACGTAGTTCTTGTATGTAAAATCAAAAGTGGAACAAGCTTCTCAATTTTAAAAGTCTCTGTACAAGGACACGAAAAAGTTTCGGTAATTTTATTGTAAAGATATTAGTTAGTAAATGATAGTAGATTAGGGAAGACCTAATATTTCAGTATATAAAACCGTCTAGAAATATTTGGATCCGCTCAAAATGCAACAGGAAGCTTTAATGAAACTGGTAGTTTAATCTCCGTTATTTATGTAACACCATGTATATCATTCGTGAGTAGTTGATGCAAGCAATTATTTGAAAAAATATATTTTCTATCTAAGGATTCAGTATTTTGTTTTGTGCCCTCACTTCTTGGACATCCTGCATACGATAAGCACTTAATTCCAGATACTCTGTCTACAAAAATCTTTATTTGAAAAATTTTCTGTCGCTTTCACTTACACAGATACTTAGATTTTCCACAGCTTAACGTGCATGGAAAGCATATAAGCAATATTTAACAGAAATATTCAAACAAACTAGTCAAGTTTTAAGGATCGTGATGCCCACTACAGAAACCTGCAAAATTTGATATTTACTTGTACAAATGTATTTTATAAAAATTATTTTTATTCATATGTATGTATTGCGACTTCAGACGTTCACTAGATCTTTGTAAACGGGATGTTGGATTAAGATTATTATTGTCATGTATGTACGATTCTCTAACTAATTCTTCTTAAGATATTCTTAAATTTCCATGATTTACGTTTAAGACAATTGGAAAGTTTTAAACATATTAACAATTTTAAAATAAATCCAGATAATTTTTCAAGGAAGTCTAATAACAACAATTAATGATGATTTATAACATGTTTTCCTTTTCGCGACATTCGCTAACTGTAAGGCAATGTACTAGACCTACTTACCTAAATTTGTCTTCAAACTCATTACTTTTAATAAACCCCTAAAAGTAATATCCTATATTTAAACCATGTAGGCAATTGGAACGTTTGAGCAATTTAAAATTTATTAGATAATAACCTTTTCAATGCAAGTATAGAGTGGAACCATAGCCAGTAGCGGACACATAGAGATTTTTCAGTATTTCGTTAAACTATCATACCCAAATGGAAGTTAAAAGCTTTGATTTTTAAGCATCGTATGTCCAATATGATGCATCAACTTTCTTTCTTGATCCGGCCTTACAACTAAAGGCAAAGTTTCAATAATTATAAATAGAAAATTTTTGGATCCGAACTAAATAGAAGAATCAAAATCGAAAAGAAATACATATTTACTACAATTATTTGCACAGTTTTTCAAACAAACATTATGTGGGTAATATTGCCTTTTTTCGAAAAGCTTCCGAAATACAATTTTTGGAATTCAAGCGACAATTTGTATGCAACTCTTATGCTTTGATACTACTAACCCAAACTAATCAATCGAGAATATACCAATAATATACTTAACTTACTTACTTACTTACTATAATATGTTACTCTTCACACAAATGGGAGAATATACCATATCCTCCCATTTGTGTGAAGAGTAACAGTCAACTTTTTCAAAAAATAGATCAGCAGTAAACGCTATATTTATTGTAAATCAAGTTGAAAAAATAATGTATATTTTATTTTGACCTTAAACAAACGTTCGACAGAATACAACCCGAAGTTGTCGTACCTACGTCAAAATAACAAAACATTCATAAAATATTTCCAAATTATAAAAGAACAAAAACATTGGAGGAGCAAAATTGGATATTTAAATCATACGAAAAACATCGCGCAAAGAATCTTCGTATTTCTTTATAAACATGTTTTTCATTTATTTTAAATGTAATCAAAATCTTCTTCATGGCGTTTTATTTGAAGTAATCCTCCTCTGGCACGTTTATGACCTCAATTAATCTCTGCAACATTTATTTTTGAGTTATCTCAAATACCCGCACAAAGGATTGATGAAAACGGTCTATTTAGCAATTTAACTAGGTGCCGTTTGCGCGTTATTTCTTCATGGATTAATTGCAATGATTGCGAAATTATCGTCCGGTTTTAAGAATCATTTTTGAGATTTCCAGTGTTTCATAAAATGAACAGTTTTAGTGTAAAGACAAAGTGGCTGAAGTTTTGTGAAGAAAAGTTGCTTAGCTGAAACTGAATTGTTTGATAAGAGATTTTATTCGCGAATATTATTGGTAAGTACTGCAGTTTAAAATAACTTAACTCGTTTGCGAATTAAGCTTAAGCTTACAAATGTAGGTAATCAGATTGGTGGTTTATAATCGGAACATTATTAGTTATCTTTACAAACAATTTTTTTCGTGTAGTTTATTTAGCTCTAATTAATCAGAGATTTTTCAAATAATATATTGAATAAAATAATTCCTTCAACAATAATTTTACGACAATTGAAAAAATATTAACATGCAAGACATTACAAATAACATACTAATGGTGTTACGGAAAATTGAAATGAACTACTACGGAGACGAAAAATTCAAATAAATCTGGATAATGATCACACTGTTCATGATTTAGCAATTTTCGTTTATATCTTACACCGACAAAACATCCTGTATTTAGGAAAGTTTAATTTATATGCCGATCTCCTCACTCAAGCTTTCAAAATTACTTATTATATTTTTAGCTTTTGTTCACTAATTTTGCATCCTATCAGATGTTGTGTAGTTTTCACACCATTTATTTTCAAACACTTTAATAAGAATTTTAATCATACATCAAATTAATGTTTCCATACTTACTTAGGTTCGTTTTTACGTTACCATACAAAACAATGGCAGATAATATTCCCAACCTGATGTCCCATCTTGATGTGGGCGATAAAGTAGTGTTGGGACTGGATGTGACCGATGTGGGAACCAACATCAGAAAATTCATGTGGCCGGACTATGTGGTCTTTATGGGCATGTTAATGATATGCCTTATTATAGGAATGTATTATGCATTTTTCAAGAAATCTACCAATTCCGAAGATTACCTGGTTGGTGGTCGGAATATGGACACATTTCCAGTTGCAATGTCACTAATTGCTAGGTGGGTGTTTAATAATCTATTCAATTTTTCACCTTGTATTTATAGAAAATAAGACAACGATGATATGTTCTAAATTTCAGTTACATAAGTGGAATATCACTGTTAGGGATCCCAACGGAAGTGTATGTTTATGGTGTCCAATATGCATATATTGTAGGTGGTTTCTTGCTCATGGCCATCGTTATGTCTACCGTTTATTTACCAGTTTTTCATGGTTTGAATCTCACTTCAACATATGAGGTAAGCAAATAAAGTTTTCAGCAAAATACCTTGTATTTAAAAAATCTACTTCAAGACAAATTTTGTATCTTATATCTCCCGTGTTGGTGTATATTTTATTTACGCATATTGCAAAAAGATTTAGCATTTGGCAAGCAAGGAATTTTACTGAATCTTAATAGAAACCTTAATCCTTTTTAGTTTGAATAATTTAAGGCAGGTAGGGTATGAAGCAAAGATAAAAATAGTAGTAAACACTGTTAAAGCTCAAGATACAGCTCAATAATTTGAATAGCTAATTCAAAAGCAAATTTGTTACAACGAAGAAAACTGTAAAGAAAAAGATGAGAGAGAAGAAGAGAAGTGCAGCAATTTAAGGATCAAAACATAATTCAAAAGGGCTATTTTTTCTCGATCATAAAACGTTTTATTAGTAGATAATATTGAATATGATTCTTATAATACATGAAATAATAATAATTTATTGAGTACTAATAATGTTTATTTAATTAAAATGAACTAATTCTATGGAAAACTAAATATTAGATTTTCTAATTGGAATAACTTGAACAGATATAATCGATTGTTTTCTAAAATAATTAGTTCGCTTTCTCCTCAAAAAATTGAGTTATAGGAGAATAATCACACAAGAGCTTTAAAATGTTAGTTTCATGCTGCTGCTTTAAAACAGAAATTATCAATAACAACTACCTTGTATTGTACAAGGTAGTTCTACAGCCCAGAGTGGGTCTGGGCTGAGTGCACTAGGCTCCTCTGGGTTTTCCGGTCCTCCAAAAGATTTGTGTTCAGAGGGGTATTCATTTTCGTTAGATCTGTTTTGGTGTTATCTTTCCATCTCCTGGTCTCCCAACTGATTAATCTGAGCTGATTAATCTTGGCGTTTGTCCTGATTTTCTTCTTAGAATTTTTCTTTCAAAACGCCTAAGTTTTTCTTCATTAGYCTTAGTCATGTCTCGCATCCATAAGCRATTATTGGTCTTATCATGCTTTTATAGACTGACCTTTGAGGTTCTTGAGATGCTTTTGGACTTGAAAAAGTTGATTAGAGGCRAGAGACTTCGATTTGCGGCTTGAATTCTGCSTTTTATTTCCTCTGTGACATCGTTATAGGCTGTAGTACAGTAGAAACTGTAGCTCCTAGATATTTGAAGCGCTCCACTTGTTCAAAATTATAAGTATCTATTGTTACATTTTGTCCTATTCTATCTCTGYGCCCCTGTCTGTTTATGCACATATATTTTGTCTTTTYCTCGTTAATATTGAGTCCTACTTCTCTTGTAGCCTTTTCTGTGCGATTAAAGATATATTTTGTGTTGTTGGTGAGGCGTCTGCAATGATGTCAATGTCGTTTGCATATGCCAAAAATAATTGAGGGCCGCCTGCAGTCAGGAGKTCTGTTTGTTCTTCAAAAAATCTTGAACAACAATTACATGTAATCCATGTATCCTGTTGTTATAAAAAGTAGAAACATAAATTATATCTACTATAGTAAAAGAAGCTTCTGAGTACCAAAATTCTTAAAGTAGTGTTTACTTGTTAATTATGTTAGATAATTATAGTTCCTGCATTAATTAGGTGTAGTTATTTTCGAAGATTTATGATGAGCGTAGGTAATTGATAAGCTTGTGGTTGATAAAATTAATGGGTTTAGTAAAGTTTTCGGACTCGAAGACGTCCGGACATCCGTTAAACTCTGCACTGCAGACTAAGATCATGCATAGTTATAGATTTTTTTAAACAAGTAGTGCCTTGCCACGGACATTCACTATAATGAATTATCTACTTAGACACAACGTTCACGTATAATTTGAGCTTTGAAGAAGACCCCAATAAAGATCGAAACGTACGGCAAATAATTAAATAGTGACGTTTTCATAATTGCCTCACACCAGCTACCTTCATCTTAATTTTCCAATTAGTTACGAGTAATTTTACATCCCTGATTAGCAAATGTTTCAATTAGCTGAAAGTTTAAAACAACTATAATCTTAAAATGTCCTTTATTTTAATGGTAATCACCGTATGCAGTATCATGAAAGGAGGTTTGACAAAAGAGTGCGCCTGTTTGGGTCCATCTTGTTCACAATAAGCTCGGTAAGAAAATGTATTTCTTTATTATAAATTATTTACCGTCTATTTTTTGTAGATCACTTGGTTGCCACTTGTCATCTATGTGCCAGCCCTTGCTTTCAACCAAGGTATGTAATGATTTGAATTTCTTATATGGATTAACTTCGATATTTTGTATAAAATCGAATTTAAAATGTGTTACTCAAGGTAGAGTAATAAAAGAGTATATACTTTTCATTTCTACTAGTAAAATATATATTATTCAACTGTGTGGTACTGTTTCAAATAGTTATAGTTTTATATAAAGAAACGCATTTACAAAAGTCTCCTGACTTTTTAAACAAACTTTTTATGTTTTAGTTACAGATATTAATGTGCATCTGATAACGCCAGTTGTTTGTCTTATTTGCATCTTCTACACCTCAATGGTAAGTTAGTATTTTTTTTATWATTAAGTGTTGTACTTACTGAATTTCTTTGTCAGTTATTTTGTTGAATCCTGAAATCAGTTGGTTTTCAAAGATTTATATGAACTGTAAAGTTGCGTTTCTGATACGTGCTGTGCTGAATGCTTTCTTAAATTCTACATTTGTTTTATTTTCTTAAATTTAATTTATGAKGAAAMAATTAAGCTTGACRTTCAAACATTAYTGAATTCAAATAATTTYGAAAAATTTTATGTCCTGTTTAAATTAAGTTCTGACAAATTACATGTAATCATATATCAATTTATATATATCATAAAAATAAAAATACAAATATATATCATAAAAATCTAAACTACAATTACAATTGGCTGCAACTGTAAATTGCGTGGGCGTTACATTTTTTCGAGAAAATAAAGGTGGTTTGTTCTTTTATTGCAATTATTAAAAAGTTTTAAAAACTTATTGCCTTCTGTTTCTAGAACTAGTTCGTTTTCTTTGTATATTTTAGATATGATTTAAACTAATTTTAGGGTGGAATTAGAGCCGTTGTTTGGACCGATGTAATTCAAATAGCTATAATGACTGGAGCCATAATTCTCGTATCTGTAAAAGGTACGTTAGATATTGGAGGAATTGCAAATGTTATTGAGAGAAATTTGGAAAGTGGGCGTATCGAAGGTCCCAAGTAAGTTTAAACTTAATAATATTTTTTTCAATCATACTTTTGCATAAAATACCAGCAATTGTGGACTTTCCTTAAAACTCATGAGCTAATTAACAAAGTTTCCGAGTTTGTATTTTTTATTGAATAGTAGGTGGTCTTCTGTCACTTTCGCTTCTGTTTTTAGACAATAAGACTTTGTAAAAAATAAAACAGATCTAATTTTAATCATAGTCGGTAGGCAACTCAATGTAGGAATAAGCGAAAATGTAACTTTGCTTCACGGTTTAACAAGACACTTTGCTTTTATAAATATAAAGTATCAAAATGGAAAAATGTATTTAAAAATAATCCGAATACGTTTCAATATTTATACACATCGTATACCATCAACAAATTTTGAGAAAACTCAATTCCAATTACAAAACGACATGATTTGGAATGAGAAGTATTGCTTCAAGTCTTTAAAATTTGCTTCTTTGCTTGCTTAAATTGTTATATGATTCTCATTTTTTAAGTTTTGATATCAATCCGTTGGCCAGACACACAATTTGGTCACTAACATTTGGAGGATTTGCCTATGTAATGCAAGCAGGGGCGGTTAATCAGAACATGGTACAAAGATATTTAGCATTGCCTACATTGACGTCAGCAAAAAGGTCTGTAAATTTTAGTTATAAATTTACATTATAAATACTGTATATTTGTATATTGATTTTAACAACTCAGTCTATAACTTTTTGGCACTTTATTTTAGAGCTCTTTGGATTTTCTTCGCTGGTTTAGTTCTTATAGTATTACTTTGTTCATATGTGGGTCTCTTGATTTATGCAACCTTTCATAAGTGTGACCCACTTACCACTATGGTAAGTGTTATTTAGCTTCTTGTAAAGTTATGACAATTTTTGTCAATTATCCAACTACAGCTAAATTGACTAAAAATAGCGCAAAAGCGTTAGATTTTCCATATTCCGAATAATTCCTTCAACTCTCTAAGTGATTGACTTATTTGCATTTTACATGATTAAGGTGTTTTATTATAACAAATCGCCAATAATCAGAAGTTATTGATAACATTTGCACAAACTATTGACAAATTTGAAAATAAATCGCCTTTTCAAGCTGTCTGTACGGAATAAATATACAACATTTGCACAAAAATATCAATGTTTGAGAGATTTTGGATTACAATAACTTGTGTACTTTTTGAATTTTTTGTATTTTTTTATAGTATTTTATGTTTTATACGTACTTAAAAGCATAAAATCAGGTTGCTTCTTAAATAAGCAGTTCACCACATAACCTTCGATTACTACATTTAGAGATTTACTATTTTCATCAAGGCATTTTCATAGTTAAAGTTTGTCTAGTCAAGTAGGCTCTTCTCCTAGACCACAAATTTATGCTTCATCACTTGCTTATTCCGATGATGATGGATTTCTTTTCTCTTACTAATTCTCACTTCGAAAACCTAGAAATCTTTGTTCATTTTCTTCATTTGGCTTCAGCGTAATTTTGATTATAAACGCTTTTTATCTTATCTCCAGTTAGTGTTTCCACCTTTGAATCAAACAGTTTAATATCACACTGACGACACAACTGTTAAACAAATATAGCAATTCTTTTTTTAAATAATTATTTCCATTTTAACTAATAAGAGAATCTGTTAGCCCTCTTTTATTGGTTTTCTAGTTAGCGCGAGAAAAAGACCAGTTGCTTCCTCTACTAGTGATGACTGTTCTAGGAAGCGTTCCAGGTCTTCCAGGTGTGTGCTTAGCTGGAAACTTTAGTGCTGCTTTAAGGTAGTGTTTCAATTTTACTTAATTCATTTCTCCTTGACGGGTTTTTTACACATTTTAGTTCTCTATCTACAGCCTTGAATTCAATGTCAGCAGTAGTGTTGGAGGACTTTTATAAGCCGTTTTTCCAAAGAGAATTAAATACCAAATACACTTACTTGCTGATGAAACTTACTGTGTTGATTTTCGGGGCTATTTGTGTAGCTTTGGTGTTTGTTGTTGAAAAATTGGGCGCTGTTTTGCAAGTAATCTTAATGAAGCAATTTACCTTTTCAGTAAAAAAAGTGAATTAAAATCTACTTTTAGCTATCAATGAGCATAGGGGCCATAGCTAGTGGACCCTCTTTAGGAATTTTTACTATGGGGATGTTGATTCCATATATCAATGCAACTGTAAGTACAAACTAGTTAAATTGTTTCAATTTTTTTTATTATCATAATTAGAATTTTTAAAATTCATTGGGTTACATTTTTCTACTCTTTTTTTGGTTTCATGGTTTTATAGTTTATACATACCAATTTAAAACAACTTGATTTGCTAATTTAAGAATGATAATTCCATATAATTTAAATTATTGTTTATATTTGTGCTAATATTTGCTTTTAAAATAATTAAAATAATCTAATAAACAACGGAAGACCGATTTGTGTCTCATATTATATAGTTTTACCCATAAAAGCTCAAGTAAATTGATTTTTTAATTTGAGAGATTTTTGTCTTTCATTTTATGAACAACATCAAGATTTTTTTCAAATAGCTCTTAATATAAATTGATTTAGAGAAAATCAATCTGTAGTTATTAACTGCCAAACTCAGATACTGAATGTAGATATTTCTAAGTATTAGCCCCAAGTCTGAAACCAACATATTGTAATTAATTCTTCAGAAAATTCAACATTTATTTACAATACAGACTTTTGGATGAATACAAACTAACAGTTGATGCGTTGATGAATACTTTAAGTTATTGACTTGTGATTTTTTTCTTTTTGAATAAGATGAGGATTCATATAGTTACCAACACTAAAATTGTAGGCACAATTTTTATGAACCGCATTGAGGAATAACTTGACAATTTGAAATCTAAACATGGAAGTTACCGATATAAAAATTCTCACCAAATTGTATAATGGTAATAAGCCGCATTATTTTTGGTATTTTTGGTATTTTTCATATCTACTTTTCCTCAAATCCTTGTTTTAGTATGCGACGATTTTTATATGTTGCCTACTTTTCATGCCATTTACGATCTGGTCTGAGCACTATTTAAAAAAATTATTCAGTTATTGTTCTTATACATTTATTTAGGTAGATTAAAACAATGATTAATAATGAGCTGATACTGGTTTTCAATATTTTGCTGTTTGCATTTGTCAAGCTTTAGCTCTGAGCACCATACAGACTATTCTACTTAAATTTTAAAATATTAATTATTGTAGGGGGCATTATATGGAGGACTTTCTGCTCTGCTATTTATGAGTTGGTTCTGTTTGCGCACTCAAACTCTCATTGCGTCTGGAGATTTAAGTTTTCCAGAAAAATCGGTTACGACTGAAGGATGCCATTACTCTTTTACTCCTAAACAATCCTCCACATCGAATATATTTTTCGATCCGTCCGTTAATGCCACTGATGTCTTACATACAGAGTAAGTAATAAATATGAACAAAATTAATTGATAATATAATTCTATCCATCAAGTACTTTATAACAATATAAAGTACTTGACCGATTAAAGAGAGTTTTGCTTCATTAAAGCACTCGATCTTAACTAAGTAATAAATGTCCACAACTTAAAGCAATATTGAACTGCAATGTAATTTTAATTGATTAATTAGCCAGAAGTTGATCTTGGTCAACGTGAAATGGATATTCCAATACGATTTGTACGCTGATTTATAAACGATCTCTAAGTTGTTATCACATGAACCATATTTACCAATAAACTTTCCAAATAATGTTGGAAAATTTCTTCGAACCTTAACCATGTGATCCGAATATAATTTAATTAACATTAGCAAATATGTTTCAATTCCATTTATGTTAAAATTAACTTAGCTATTTTAAATACGATGATTTTAAAGCGGTTGCTCGAGAAAAAACATCATAAAGCGATTCCTACAAACCATTCAACTTTTTGCTAAAATAATCGTCTTTTATTCATTTGAAACTTGTAATTTCCGAAAGGAAATTAATAGATTGATTTGCCAATACATACAGGCACGATTTCTAAAACGTATAATATTTTTGGTAACGCAATCTTTTCAGAACTGAGTTTAAAAATCAGCTTTGCTTTTTTCAATTAGTAATAGAATTACTAATAATATACTATAT